CGTTGTACGTAGTAATTGATCAAAAAGAGGTAATTATTGGTTTTAAGCCTCTATTTATGGTCCAATTATTTTGGTTGTAAATGGGTTTGAGTACCCCTTGTATTCAATAAATAAATAAATTTGCTTTTCAAAAAAAAAAATTGTAAGGTTTTACACAATTTTCATCCATTAATTTTTTATGCATTTTTTTTGGTCCCTCAACTATAAAAAGGTAATTTTTTAATCATTATATTAGTTAATTTGATAAATTTATCTAAATATACATATTTTTAGTCCATTAACTTAAAGTTGAGAGACAAAATATACATTTAGTTGAAGTTGAGGGACTAAAAATATGTATATTTATATAAACTTAATATATTAATTGACAAAATAATTAAAAAAAGTATTTTTCATAGTCAAAGGACCAAGAAAATACATAAAAAAAATAAAAGATGAAAATTGTGTAAACCTTAAAGTTGAGGGACCAAAATTAGCATTTAACCAAGGTTATTCTTGCTCGCTAGTTCTCTCGATCCCTCTTCCCCGGGACTTTACTGTACCACCTTACTTTACTAAATCTCCAATTCTCGCTTCCAATGAAAGCCTAGCCTCCGATTCTTACTTTCTATGAAAATTCATCCTCATCCTCTCAATTTGATGGTGGGCTTTTTTGTTTTTTCCCTTTTTTCCAAGAACCCTATGATGAGCAAGATAGACTGAACTGAGGAATTGATTGTAAGACTTATGTAAGTAAAATTCCACTTTCTCTCTTACTGCACTGAAATCTTAGATACGTACGGTACATATCTTCATGTTTATATATCTGCAGATTTTTGGTATGGTTTTGATATTTTTTGAACAAGTTATGGAAAATCATGGATTAATACGGATATATGGGTGTGAAGAACGGGTTTTGAGTGAGTATTGCTTCGTTGCTTTGTATTAATTTTGTGTAATTGAAGTATGTAAGAAATGGTTCAAAAGTTGGAAAATGGTGAAAAGGACTACCTTTGAAGGTTAAATATTTCTGGAGCTTCGGACTCTTGATTGTGAATTTTGATGGGGGAAATTCAAGGGGAATACATACACACATCCACCATGTTTATCTTATTTTAATTTTATTTTTTCAAGTTTGATTATTATATTTGAAATTTTAGGGGGAATTTATGAACGTCAAGTCCTTGAGGGTATGGTATAATGAATGGAGTATTCATGAATTTATGATATTGAAAAGATTATAGATTGACCATGTTCTTGGGATTGCATGATGGAATTTGGATTAATGGAGATATATTTGGAAGTGTTTAAAGCTTTTTGTTGCAGGTAGAAAGTCCATTTTTCAGATGAGATTCTATTGGATTTTGTTAGATTACATAATTTGGTTACATTGAAAGAATATTGAGATGAGTAAACTTGATTCATCATGAGTGATCAAGTCATGGTTACTTATCTCCTGAGATCCCAAAGGACTAGTAAATAGTGGGATGTGTGAAAAAAATATATCATTGGAGTTTTTTGTTTTAAAGGTGAGACTTATCAAATCTTGCCACATCCTTGGTTAGCCACTTACGGACATGATTATCCCATTATGATTATGGTTAGATACTTTATCATGTAGGCTTATTCAATATGTAAATATGTAATCATATCATGGTAGTAATAATATACTTTTATGCGTGTCTATAAAATTAATGGGTTTGGTATATTTGCAACATATAAATTGTTTTTGGTCAGCCAAACTAAAATATGTTCAAATTTTGTTGTCATTGTTAGGACGTGACAATCATTACATGTGAACCATGCGTATCTCATTTTTCTTCATTTTTGACTTTGCTTTTCTATTTTTAAATTATTTGTATGTATTGATATGCATTGATCACTGATTGTACATGGTATGAGAGCTTATTTTCCAATATAGAGCACCCTTTTGGGGAACAACTCCTCTTCAATAGAAATAGGTCATCTAAATGTTCTCTTCTTTTCTATTTATTTTTTTGTACAGAATTTATATGAAGTAGCCCTCTATACATCTTTTCACTGTTGGCATGAACGATGCAGGTCAGTTTTCCCAACTTGGAAACGTTGATTATTTTCGGATTTGGAAAACATGAAAAACAATGAGATATGTGAGTCTGGTGCTGAAGAGGAAAGTCATATACCTGCACTAACTCAATCAGATGAGTCCCCTGAGACTGCACCTCCCTCTAATAAGGAATTGCAACCTGGATCAGGTTTCAGAAACCAGAAAACACGGAAATTGCCAGAATGCCTCAAATTAAAGAATTCCTTGTCATCTTTGGTATCTTTCTGTAATTTGACGACTCTGGAGGTGTCAAGATGTCATAAATTAGAAAATTTAGTAACTCCCTCAATAGCTAACAGCATGGTGCAACTCAAAAGAATGAGCATAACTGATTGCAAGAAGATAGAAGAAATCATAGCCTGTGAGGGCGAAGAAGTGGAGGACATTGTTTATTCCCAACTGAAGTCTCTGAGATTCCAATCGTTACCAAGCCTCAGCAGTTTCTGCTCGAGTAATTACTCCTTCAAATTCCCATCTTTGGATGAATTGATCGTAAAAGAATGCCCTAAATTGGTGAATTTCTCTCATGGTAAGACAGACGCTCCAATGCTGCGAAAAGTATGTGAGAGAGGAGGAGATAAGGGGTACTGGAGAGTTGACCTCAATACCACCATAAATATGCTTTATGCAGGAAAGGTACCTATGACTGCCCTTTTTTGTTTTTTTTTTCTTTGAAGTTTATATGCTTCTTTGTCAAATTAATTTGAATTCAGTCTTAGTCCTCCTCTTTCCCTTGCTCAATCTCAGAGAGAGGCTTTGGAGGAGTTTGGGTCTCTGCTTTGGAGGCTAGATAACCTTTGGGTCCCGTTATCTGGTGAAGGTCTCTGAGTGTCATCTTCAATTTGAAAGCCTTTCGATTCAAAATGTATTGAAATCATACCAGGTTTAATCCCCTATTTCTAGTTTTCTGCTATGTTAGCATTTATTTTCCCAGTGGTTTGGATGGTATCTGAGATATTAATTAAACAATCATGTTATCATGTTTTTCTTTGGAATATTTGTTGGGTTTTATATTGTCATGCAAATCAATTCAAATTTGTCTGGTTTATTTTAACTTGGAATAATTTTGGTGTTCTGCGTGGCAGTTTAGGAAACGTTAGAAATTGGTTGTCCAAGTAAAAGGTTCCTTTTTTTTTTTTGGCCAATTCCTTGGCTAATAAAGTGCAGCAGTCTCTTTCCACCAATGAAGTTCTGGCCTAAGAGTTAAGGTGGAGGTCATGTTACTTGCAAGTTTGATGTTTGAGTCTTGCGTTATGGAGATGGTTTGTTATAGTTTGCAATTTAGTTTGATTCGATTGTACAATGATGGATTAAAATATAGATCGATTAATGTTTTGTGTATACCATTTGAAGTAGATTGTAATTAAAATTTGTAACCCAAAAAAATCTTTCCCTTAGAATCAAATTACATAAGAATCATAGATTATGGAGTGTCCCCAAGTCCTTGTGGCTTCTGATTTTTCTCCTTTTTGGGTCATCATTTGTTGTCTCCAAAATTCTCTCATTGCAGTCATGGCAGCAGATGGGATTGTGCAAGTGTGCCACTTGCTTTACTCAAATCGAGAATAAATAAAGATAGATGCATTGTCTGCATGAAATGAGTGAGGGTTGCCACAAACCTTTTTGCCTTCAACGAAGTAAGTGGCATGCCTGATCATTTCTATTTCTGCCATGCAGGGACAACAATTTCCGATTAGCAAGCTAGCCTGTTTGTTACCACATGTGAGTGACCGAAAAGAGAGATTTGGAGATAACAAGAACAAACAAGCTTTTCCAATGCAAATTTATCATTTCAAGATCAAGAACCATGTGATCTTGTCCTCTTCTTTTTCTTTAGAAAACTACAATCGTCATCCATAAAAAATTGAGGACACCAATAACTCCATTACAGTTTCTAAAATATAAAACTAAAATTAATACGAGTTAGGATCTGCTTGCGTATAATTTTTAAACATAATTTATTGTGGAGAGATAGATGTGATGTATGTGTTGTGTATAAAAATTATATATAAGTAAATCTTTAACTCATACTAAAGTGTTAGTACCTGTTTACACCATAAATTGCAAAATTTTAAATTAATGTCACGTGTAAAATTTTTATTGGCTGGAGGAGTTTTGAGCCATGTCAGATTCGGATCCTGGGCCCCATGACAGGTCAGCACATGTGTTGGCAAGATG